TGGGTTTTCCTTCTTATTTTGGCCCAAAACTTATGTAGCCTATTTAAGAGGTTGAACTCAATCTTTTAGAGGGTAACTAAAAAATTTATTCATACAAAACCCTTACAAATACTCATTCGTATACCTGGCCTTCTTCCCGACTTGTGGATTGGTTTGGGTTATTTCCCGTTTGTGTTTGTTGTGCTTCTAATAGACTTTGCTGCCCCGGGCCTTTTGCTCTTCTAATGTAAGCTCCAAGACGTTAGAGCCTTGGCTTAAATTAAGTGGTATCTGATCTCTAGTTCAAACACAATGACATAAGTATCCTCTTTTCTTGCGCTCAAATCAGACTAATCAGGTTTTGTGTTCTCAACCGCCGCCAATAAGAGAGCTTTCGAGCTTTTGAAATATAAACTAACACATGCTCCTTTGTTGATGTTGCTTGACTTTTCTAAGACATTCGAGATCGAATGTGATGCTTCTGGTGTAGGCATTAGTGTTGTTTTGATGCAGAAGAAGAGGCCAATCGCTTTCTTTAGCGAAAAGTTGAGTGAGGATGCCTTGAATTATCCCACATATTACAAAGAGCTCCATTCTTTTGTTTAAGATCTAGAAATATGGCGACCCTACCTCTAGCCTAAGGAGTTCGTGATCCACACCGATCATGAATCGTTGAAGTACTCGAAGGCACAACATAATTCAAACAATAGACATGATCGATGGGTGGAGTTCATTGAATCCTTCCCCTATGTGATTCTCTACAAGCAAGGTAAGGAGAATTTGGTCATCGATGCCCTTTCTCGAAGGTATACTTTGATATCATCTCTTTATGCTCGATTCATTAGGTTTGAGCACATTAAAGGGCTATATGCCAATGATCCTGACTCTGATGAGATTTATGCGGCTTGTGAGATACATGGTAAGGGAAAATATTATCAAGCTGATGGTTATTTGTTTCATGCTAACCAACTTGGTGCGCCTCATACTTCAATTTGAGAGTTACTGGTTAAAGAAGCTCAAGGTGGAGGCCTCATGTCGCACTTTGGGGGTATCCAAGACTTTGGATTACCCCATGAATATTTCTACCGGCCACACATGAGAAGTGATGTGGAGAAGATGTGTGAAAGGTGTCTTAACTACCTCCAAGCCAAATCAAGGCTTAAAACAAATGGGTTATATATTCCTCTCCCTATTCCTACTACTCCTTCTATAGATTTTGTTCTTGGGTTGCCTAGGAGTAAGAATGTAGAGCAACTGTGTTTGTTGTGGTTGACCGGTTCTCAAAGATGTCACATTTTATCCCATGTCACAAAGTTGATGATGTATCTAATGCAGCTAAACTGTTCTTTGAGAAATGGTAAGGTTGCATGGTATGCCTCGTACTATATTCTATGATCGTGATGTCAAGTTCTTGAGTTACTTTTGGAAAATTTTCTGGAGTAAGATTGGTACTAAGTTATTATTTTCTACAACTTGCCACCCTTAAACAGATGGTAAAACTGAAGTGGCTAATAGAACTTTGTCTCAAATCGTTAGGGTTGTCAGTAAGAGTGATATCAAGACTTGGAAAGAATGCTTACCTCATGTAGAATTTGCATATAATAGGATTGTTCATTACACCACTAAGTTTTTACCATTTGAGATTGTCTATGGATTTAATCCTTTAACCCCATTGGATTTGTCTCCCTTACCTGTCAATGAGCGTGTGAATTTAGATGGTGCGAAGAAGGCAAAGATTGTTCAAGGTTTGCATGAGAAGGCGCGACTAAACATAGAGAGACGGACTGAGCAGATTTTCAAGAATGTGAACAAGCATCAAAGTCCTCAAAGGTTCAAGCTAGGAGATTGGGTTTGGGAAGGAACGTTTTTCCCATCAATGACGTTCTAAGCTGCAACCTCGTGGAGATGGTCCCTTTCAAGTCATCAAATGCATCAATGACAATGCTTACAACCTTGATTTGCCAAGCGAGTATGGCATGATTGCTACTTTCAATGTTGGTGAATTAGCTCCTTTCTTTGAAAACGACTCAGATTGTAGGGAAAATTCTTTTCAAGTGGAGTGGGATGATGGGGCATCAATACCAAGGCGGTCACAAGTCCAAATTTGGTGCGAGAGGGAGATGTTCTAAGTGTTCAAGGTTAAGGTCCAATCATTAGAAGTCAAGCCAAGGAATTCAAGAATCAACTTCAACCTTATTTGGCCAAGAACTTTGCAAATATGGAGGTCGAGTTGTTCGTGGTTCGCGATTTTGTCTTCATCCTCGTTGAGCTGGATTTGGCTGAATTCTTGGTCGAGGATGGTGGGAACCCCGATCAGGGAATGGCGACCAAGGGTGGGGATCTTTTCCAGAATGATCCCCAGGCGTGAAGACCAAAACCCCGACCGGGGAATAAAGAGGTCGAGCGGGGATTGGGGGCTGATGTCACGAATCTGTTTTTCTATTTACTTTTCGGATTTGGTTTCCTGAGACTTAAGAGACGGGGTTTCCTTGTTATTATGGCCCAAAACTTATGTAGCCTATATATTAGAGGCTGAACTCATTCTTTTAGATGGTAATCAACAATTTTATTCAGAACAAAAACCCTAAAAATTGAGTGTTGAAACACCAACTTCTTTTCTTCTTCTTTCTTGATCGTGGAATCGATTCGTATACCTGGTCCTCTTTCCGACTTGTGGATTCGGTTTGGGTTATTCCCCCTTTGTGTTCGTTGTGCTTCTAATTGAATTTGTTGTGTTTCTGATTGTTTTAAGTCCAGGTGTTAGAGCCTCAGCCTCTATCAAGTATGTTGTTCATTAGGAGTTCAGCCGCTTTGGAAATTGCCCCCGAGTGATTTGGTTTCCTATCGAGCCCTGACTCTGTAGATTATATACTCTCGTGAACTGCTCGATGGCACGGTTCTCTCCCTCGACCATCTTCCATACTTGCGCTACGAGCAATGTGCAAGCGAAGGAACTTGCCTCCTTCGTAAGGACTGTTTTGCCATTACAAGTTTAAGGTTCCGCAGTTGACGGGTCCGAAGAGGGGAAATGGGCTCTCTATTAAGTGGCGCGATAACCGGCCCAATCGTTACGTGTATGGCTGACCCAATTTGTACAAGAACTGGTTCGAGAAATTTTTCTATGTGAAGCCAACGCTCGGGGAGCTTACTACCTTGCTTGTGAATTTTTTGTTTTTGTGGTCCAATGGGAGTGTGGAGGACTTCGAACCAACGGTGCGGGATTACAAGAAGCTCACGACGCACTAAGAATTGTTGGTTTGAACTTCATCTTCTGCCGTCTGTATGAACAATTATGACATTTCTGGGGCAGTTTCATCAGATTTTTCCACCAAGACTTGAACGTCAGCACATAGATGGGCAAGCTCTCTTCGTTCCTGCCATTAATTAGTTGTAGACTGGAACTTTTTTTAGCTCACTGCTATCAGTCAAGTTAGACTTATCATTTGAGTTTGAGTACTCATCTTTAGATATCATGATATCCTTTGATGAAAATTTGTACTTAAAAAAACTTTTAAGAACCAAAGTGTAAATGGGTATATGAGAAGTGGTCGATTGAGCCTCTAAACTAGCCTAGGATGCATGGAAATGCCCAAGAACCCCATCTCAATATTGAGCCTCTTAACCTAAGGAGGTTTCCTATCTAAACTAGCCTAGGAGGCATGGAATAGCCCAAGAACACCCAATGAACCTCCTAACCTAAAGAGCTCTCCTATCTAATCTAGGTTAGAATGGCAATTAGATTGATAGACTTTCACACAACACAATCATTTCTGAATAATACCTCCACATTCACATTAAAACACAACCACACACAAATCATTCTATTCATACAAGTATTCACATAATTGTAGCTAGGGTTTACAAACACCCAAGTGAAAGAAGCGACTACTCCATGCTAGGAGAAGGGAACACACAAAAGAGGGAAAGGAAAACCATCATGAAGATGGAAGCCTTGCTCCTTGTGCTGAAGAAACCCCAAATCCTTGCTTGTAGATCAAACCCTAGCTTTTCCTCTTCTTTGGTTGGTCACTTTCTCGCTCTAAAATATGAAGAAGGAGAAGTTTTCTCACTCTAGGTCTCCCCTTCTTCTTCCCTTCAGCTTTCCTTTTAAGTGGGAGATCGCGTTGAGTTCACGGCGAGTGCACGTCTTTGAACATTGAAACGCGTTCGTGAACTCAGTGCTGTGACCAAAACACACCGCTTCATTTGCTCGCGGTCACGGTCAGTGGGCTCTGTTCACTGTCTTAGTTACCGTGAACTGTCTGGGCGTCAGTAACTGTCTGGCCGTGAACTGCGACTGTCTCCTCATCTTTGCCTGGTCTTTGCTCATTTTCTTCCAACTGTCGACTCTGGGTTTGATTTTACTTACTAGGATATGAAACACACTAAAACACAAGCAACCTCGCATAAAACCAACATTTTTGGAGTTCAATTATATTGCAACAAACGTCAAAGAGAATCAGTTGTAAAAAGTGCAGAATTAGCCCCAAATCAAAAATTATATGAAAAATATTTGAAAACGTCGACTCTCCAAGAATAATCTATCCAATTATATATAGAAAATCTATGGCATATATGTAAATAGTATAAATAAATGTAAGGAGGATATTAAAAATATATCTCCTCTTTCCCCGAACCATACTCTTGTTTCTTTTCTACTACAGTAATCGCATACAAACTAAGACCACCACTTGGATGCATAAAAAGTCTCCTCTCCCTTCAGATCACTGAACGCCACATGTGTGTCTAGTCTGGTCCAGTAAACAAAACAACAACAACAACAACAACAACAACGGAGAGTTGAAGCAGAAGAATAGTATACGAAGCCAACCGGCGCTATAGGAGACAGCTGACATATTCAAACTTGGAGTCGCTAACTAAAATATACATATATATCAAATGCTGCCTCCAAAACTCTGCAGAATCTCCACTCTGTACAGCTTGACTTTTTTTGTTACTTTTTTTTTGTTTTTGTTTTTCTTTGATACACATATTACCGCTTGACTTGACCCACCCACCCCCAGAGCCCCATCTTTCCATTGCAGCGCTTGTTACCTCTCTACCTCCCCCGGGCCGGGATTATAAATACTAGACTCCCCAATCTCATTTCCTTCAGGGAAAGTAGCTAGCTATCTTCAGCTTGCAACAAGTTCCCCATACTCACTTATTAATTCATTATTATTATTGTCGATCGGATCAATATATATATATTTATTTATTTATATATCCACTCCGGCCAAAGATCTGCCACCAACCCCTCCGCCGCAAGATAAGCAAATGGAGTACTCCCTCCTCCAAACCGTCCTCTACCTCGCCCTCCCTCTTCTCCTCCTCCTCCTTCCCATCCTCACGCGCCGCCGCAGCCGCCTCCCACTCCCGCCTGGGCCCAAGGGCCTGCCCATAATCGGTAACATGCTGATGATGGACCAGCTCACTCACCGTGGGCTTGCCAAGCTAGCCCAGCAGTGGGGCGGGATCTTCCACATGAAGATGGGGAACCTCCACATGGTGACGGTGTCGTCCCCGGAAGTGGCGCGGCAGGTCTTGCAGGTTCAGGACAACATCTTCTCCAACCGCCCCGCCAACATCGCAATCAGCTACCTCACCTACGACCGCTCCGACATGGCCTTCGCCCACTACGGTCCCTTCTGGCGCCAGATGCGCAAAATCAGCGTCATGAAGCTCTTCAGCCGCAAGCGGGCCGAGTCATGGGAGTCCGTCCGAGACGAGGTCGACTCCATGGTCTCCACCGTTGCCGCCAACGCCGGCAAGCCCATGAACGTCGGGGAGCTCATCTTCACCCTCACCATGAACATCACGTACCGTGCGGCTTTCGGCTCCAAGAACGAGGGCCAGGACGAGTTCATCAAGATTCTCCAGGAGTTCTCCAAGCTGTTTGGGGCTTTCAACATTGCTGATTTCATCCCGGGGCTAGGATGGATGGACCCACAGGGTCTCAACTCTAGGCTTGTCAAGGCCAGAGGTGCTCTTGATAAATTTATTGATAAAATCGTGGACGAGCACCTGGAGAAGAGGAAGCTAAACCAGGCGGACGATCCTAACCCGGACATGGTGGACGACTTGCTGGCTTTCTACGACGACCAAGATGCCAACGACAACAACAACAACAAAGCTACCGATAACTCCGCCGACTCTCTCAAGCTCACCAAGGACAACATCAAAGCCATCATCATGGTACGTCTTTCTAATAATTCATCGAGATTTCCCCTTAATCAATTTGTTCCCCAAATTACGTACGTGTAAAACTTTCCCAACTAGAAATGTCAAAAAAAAAAAAACAACTTCCTATGAGTTTTGTATTATTGATAGAGAGCTGAAACTTGTCTGGCTGTGAATTTGTACAATATCAATCTGTTTAGGAGGAGAAAAGTCCAAAAAGGTAGGAACCATCTTTTAGAATGGTGTGAAGCAGAAATTACAATCTAGCTAGCCTTTGGATTACTGTCCATATGCTGTCATCAACTTGGACTCCTTGATGCTTGCTTGCTTGCAGGCTGAACATATATATTGTTATTGGTGCTAGAATGGGAGAGTTAGCTAGGGAAAGTAATTTTTTCGCTTGTAAAAGTGATTATGAGCCAGAAATAATAACTGCGCGCAATGAAATGAGTTTATTTTATTTTGGGAATAGCGTAAGGAGAAAACACAATTTAACGGGGTTGTTGGGGTTGGTTTGGCTGCAGGATGTGATGTTTGGTGGGACTGAAACGGTGGCGTCAGCAATCGAGTGGGCTATGGCTGAACTGATGAAGAGCCCGGAGGACCTGCGAGTGGTTCAGCAAGAGCTGGCGGAGGTTGTCGGTCTGGACCGCCGGGTCGAAGAGAGCGACTTTGAGAAGCTGAGCTTCCTGAAATGCACGCTCAAGGAGACGTTGCGCCTCCACCCGCCGATCCCGCTGCTCCTCCACGAGACGGCGGAGGATGCGGAGGTGTGCGGCTACTCCGTCCCGAAGAGGTCGCGGGTGATGATCAACGCGTTCGCCATCGGACGCGACCGGAACTCGTGGTCCGAACCGGACGTGTTCAAGCCGGCCAGGTTTCTCAAGGAAGGGATGCCGGACTTCAAGGGGAGCAACTTCGAGTTCCTGCCGTTCGGGTCGGGTCGGAGGTCCTGTCCGGGGATGCAGCTGGGTCTGTACGCGCTGGATCTCGGGGTGGCCCACTTGCTTCATTGCTTTAAATGGGAGCTGCCCGACGGGATGAAGCCCAATGATTTGGATATGAGTGATGTTTTCGGACTCACCGCTCCCCGGGCCACCCGACTCGTGGCTGTGCCCACCCCGAGATTGACCTGCCCGCTGTAACTAGCTGGCTGCAAGGAATTTGAATGGGGTTAAATTTCATTCTTGTTTGTTTGACTGTTATGCTTTTATTTTCACTTTCTTTTGTGGATGAGTTTTTTTCACTTTTTTTTCTTTCTGAAACAAAATTACTATATATATATATATATGTATCAAGTACGAATGATGCAGATACTTCTGGAAGAAACACATGCAATGCAGGGCCGAACGAAATAGCTAGAGTCGGGGGGAAAAATAACCAAGGAATAAATATGGCAAAACAAATTCTTGTTTGTTTTCTTCTTCTCCGCTGATCTTGTACATGCGGGATCTTGGATGTAAAAGAATTCATTTGTCTTTATCAACGCTTCGTCAGTTTCTTTTCTTACCACTGGTCCAATGATGCCCACATCTGATCTGATCTGATCTGATCGGGGTACCTACAATTTGTATGGTCTATACTCTATACAACACGTTTGTGGCTGTATTCAACCGGTGGGGAAATACTGTAGTTGTGGCTGGAATTATATCACCGACCTCAATTAACAAGGAAAAAAGCGACTGCCCACCCACTCAACATACACATCACAGTTTTGCAGGATATATGAATGTATGCTGTTTTTTCAAAGCTGCTGTTTTGTTTGTCCTCTTTTGAAGAAACTTGGGCGGTTCCGATGGAGAAATTAGAGCAAGGAAACGCAGAAATACATGTCACGGTGAAACAGACAGGATCTGCTGGTTACCTGGCTGGCTCTCGCCGACTGGTGGAAATTATTGAATATCTGACCAGTTGCGTATCTAATTAACTCTGACACGATAATGATGATAATCGTCATCATAAAATTCAAATTAAGACGCAACGCAACCATTTTTTTTTTTTTTTTTGGTAGAAAACGCAACGCAACCATTACCTACAGCCCGACTGCTCTACTTAATTACTTATTTATTTACTTGTTAATGATGAGTCGTTCGGTTACCCACCTCATCAATGACAAAGCATGACGCTAGCAGTAGCGCTCTACTAAATACTAATTAACCTTTCCTCTTATTGAGAATGGATTTCTCCTTTCATAATTATTTTGGTTGGACGAACTGATTGAATGGAACGGACTCCACATCATCCTATCCTGCTTCATTTCCAACTACCACAGACGTTGTTTGGTGAGTAGATTAGAATCAGATGACGAGTGTGTGTGGAATTTAATTAACACTTGCATCAATTATATTCAGAACTCTAATTATTTGTTTCTACATTATGATTCGGACGTTTCTAAAATTACCTTTTCCAGTTTCCTTATCTCTGATATTTTCCTTAGCTAAACAGAAGGAAAAACAAATTTTTATTTTATTTTATTTTTTACTTCTATTTAGATTGTTTTAGTAGTAGGCGTATGTGAGTGTTTGAATTGGTATGATGTCAAGAACAGCAGCTTTGTTTCGGGACTTTGGCCTATTGGTCAAGTAGAGCGGAATACTACTATTTATCTAATTATCGAGATTTTGTTTTTATGCATGTATACAGGGATGGCAGTCGGCTGGTCGGGTAGGAATGGCAATTTTACCCATACTCATAGGTTTTTTTTATTATCCAACCCAATTGGGTTGGGTATAAAATCCAAATAGATGGTAAATGGGTAAAGTTTTATGTATTTGTATGTTGTAGGACACTGTTATGTATCGAGTGCAGTGTTATACTCGGTAGTGTCCATTTTATAGAAGTATAGGTAGTGTTTGATAATTGACAATATAACCCTAGGAGATAGACGTGAAGGGTTATATAGGTGTTGTCGTGGCCGAGTTTGGCTGTGTGTGTAAATGTGTTGGTTGTGAAACAAAAACCTAATAACAACAGTATCGAAGGGTCCTTGAGTGAGCCTTCCGTGGATTAGTCTCCTTCACACTGAACGAGGATACCACGTTAGTTGCCTCGTTGTCGTTTACTATTCGTTTTTCTCATGGTATTATAGTTGTGCTGACGATCAAGGAACTTGTGTTAACATGGCTGGTGAAGACGGTAAAGACAAGACGGTCAGCTCGCCTAGTGGCAACGGTGGTAGCGGCGGCTTGGACGGGACAGATCCGTCCTCGTCCAGTACAAGCGCAACAGTGGAGACGAGTTCACGCTATAGTGAGGGATGGCTGCTTTGCGCCATTGATAAATAAGTTAGGCGTGGGATGCGTCATGCTAAGACTGCACGAGAAGCTTGTGATGATCTTCGGGAGAGGTTCGCACAAGGCAGTGCAACTCACGCTTACGAAGTACGGCGGATGATTAGTCAACTTCCACAAGAAAAACTCACCGTCCAAGCTTTCTACACGGAGTTGAGATCCCTTTGGGAAGAGGTGGAAAGCATGGCACACATTCATACTTGTATGTGTGGTTTGTGTACGTGTGGACAGGATAAGAAGAATCAGGAGCATGAAGAGCATTTTAGGCTCTTCAATTTCCTCATAGGTCTTGACGAGTCATTGACCACCGTCAAAATCCAAGTGCTCTCGATGAAGACAATGCTAAGTTTGTCATTAATAATGATGCCCACCAATGAAAGATTGCAGCAACCCATCTTGTCACACCGGAGGCCGTGGCATTCTTCACCCGCGATAACAACTCCCCGCGTGTGGAAGGATGAGAACGGGTAAAGTGCACTCATTGTGGCAAGCTAGGCCACTTGAATGAGCGGTGTTTTGACATCATAGGATAAGCCTGAGAAGGGCACCGATGCAGGAGGCCACAAGGCTGCAAAACATCCTCGCTCTAGGCCCAGAGTTGCGAATATTGAAGCTAATGAGAGTCCAGTTCCTGGGCTGTCTATGTCACAGCTCAAACAACTCCGAAGATTCCTAAAGATAGATGGAGGTACTCTTGATTCTACGACCTAAAGAATGCTAGGTACTTTCTCTAACTTAGATGAATGGATCATCGACTCTGGATGTAACGAACATAAAGTCAATGATTCGTCTATGATGGTACAAGGATTAGTTCAGTCTGGTTTGCAAGTTAATATTCCAAATGGTGATTTAATTGAAGTAGGCAGCATTGGTTTGGTTCAGTTGAGAAACGGAATGGTGTTGCCACAGGTTTTGCTGGTTCGTGAATTCAAGTGCAATTTGTTATAAGTTAGCCGCCTAAGCCATGGTTTTCTCATTGCACTAATCTTTCTGCACGATTCTGTAATACAGGACTTACACTACAAGAAGATGATTGGGATGCGTAAGCAGCGGAACGGGATGTATCACTTGCGTCTGTTCGATGAAGTTAATGAGGTAATGGTGCATGTGACGCAAGGCAAATAGTCATTCTCAACGGAGTTGTGGCATTCACGGTTGGGGCATCCCTCCGGCGATCAGATGTCCTTATTACAATTATATTCAAACAATACTCAGTTGTCTCGGGATCATGATTCTTCGTGTTTACGAGCCAAACAGTCTCGGAATTCTTTTCCTTTGACTTCAATAAAGAGTAGTCAGCCTTTTAGGTTAATTTAAGTTGATATCTGGGGGGGGGGGGGGTTATCATGTCCCTTCTCTTGGTGGGGCTCAATATTTTTTCAACCTTGTGGATGACTACAGTTTTGGAGTTTGGATCTATGTATTGAAGGCTAAGTCAGAAGTCTCTCGTTGTTTGATTATGTTTTGTAATCAAGCTATTTGTCAACATGGAAAACCCGTTAAGAAGATACAGGCTGATATCGGGTTGGAGTTTCAGACTACCTTTCTCCACGATTTCTATGAATAGGAAGGTATTCTTCTCAAAACATCCTGTGTTGATACTCCACAGCAGGATGGGGTTGTAGGGAGGAAACACCATCAATTGCTAGAAACGGCATGTGCACTCTGGTTTCACGCCAACCTACCACTGATGTTTTGGGGGACCGTGTACTTACGGCATCATATTTGTTACCCAAGTTATTTTGTTAGGTTGAGATATCATCTAGGTTGGAAATGGTTTGTTTGGGGACAAGTAAACGTCTAAGTGTGTGCGAGTGATTCGGGCTCAATTGTACACTTTTTATCCCCAGTCACCTTAGTCGTCTGAGGCATTTCTACTCCGAGAGGTTTGGTTTTACGCTAGATTTTGCCGCGTTTTGGTGTTTTTCAGACTATGTCAGGTGGAACTAACCCCGGAGTCGAAAGTTGGACGAAAGGGCGAAAAATCAAATCAAAGTGTGGAAGCAGCAGCAGATCACGGTGGAACTGTGAATTAGAGCCGCTAGCCGTGAACCGCCAGGCATTCAGAGCATATTTCAGTCTCACTGGACTCAAGTCAGTTCACGATCGTAAGAACGGGAACTCAGGCCATTGCCCGTGAACTCGACTAAGTGATGCGGCGCGTTTTGACTTGAGATCATTGTCCGTGCTTTCAGTTCACGGGCGTGAACTAGGACCGTGATTTGAGCCCAATCTGGTTATAAATGGAGGTTTGAGTTGAAGGGAAAAGAGGAGAGACCTAGTGTGAGAAACTTCTTCTTCTTCTTCTTTAGATTTCTAGAGTGAGAAAGTGACGAACCAAAGAAGAGAAGAAGCTAGGGTTTCATCTTCAAGGAAGGATTTGGGAATTCCTTCCCCAACGGAGGATCTCTTCAACACAAGGAGCAAGGCTAGCATCTCCATGATGGTTTTCCTTCTTCTCTCTTGTGTTTTCCCTTCTCCTAGCATGGTGTAGTCCCTTATTTAACTTGGGTGTTTGTAAACCCTAGCTACAATTATGTGAATGTTTGTATTGATTGAATGATTTGTGTGTGGATGTGTTTTAATGTGAATTTGGAGGTATTTTCATGAAAGATTGTGTTGTGTGTTTGCCTATCAATCTATTTGCCATTCTAACCTAGGTACAGAGAACCCCTCTTTCTTTGAAACACACTTGTAAAGCTGGATTTTCTTAGGCAAATATTGTCTCCTATCTAGGTTACTGTAGGCAACCCTCTTTATTCATATTAGCACCTAGGGTTGGTTGTAATTAGGCCGTCCAAACTCTGGTTTGAGGGTAAAGTCTGGACAACCCTTAGTCAATAGGTCAGAGAGCTACTTTGGTGGCTTGAAATGAATTCCATTGACCTAGAGACCGAGAGAGTGGCGTTTGACTACTTGTTGCACTTCCCTACGGTTTACAACCACCTTACAACACGTGACCATTCGATCCGACAAGTCATAATTGTTAGGTAGGGGGAGCAACACCCAAGTGAAGTCTTCTCAATTAGTGTCAAATCCATTTACTTTTCCAAACGTTTTAGCCATAGATTGTTATTTTCACCAACAAAATCAATTGCTAGATAATGTTACAAACAATCGAAGTAGGGGTACATGAACCGGCCCTGATTGACATTTAAACATACTTGCCCTATATTGCACCCCAATTGAAGTTTATACTTAGGCCTTAATTGATAGTTTTATTGTGATATTCTGGACGACTAAGATCTTGACTAAAGTGTTAGCTCAATCCACCCACTTTAAATTTTTATCGTCTGTTATATTCTTTAAGTCCCATCGCATGAAATTTTGTGTTTTCTAACAATTTTGGAATTAATAATTGTAATTTT